TCTCTCTCTCTCTCTCTCTCTCTCTCTCTTTCTCTTTCTCCATGTTGCTATTATAATAAAGAACACCCATTACATCACATGTGGCCCTTATTATTATTGGGCTTCCCAGTTTCCATTCTATCATTAGGACCAAATATAATATTCCTTACTTTCAAACTTACATGTTGTCAGAAATCAGAAACATGGCATGCAAATCTGAAACTAAGGAAAAAGTAGAGCAAGAAAAGTATCAAGAGCTTGCTCCTAGTTCTACAAAGGACTCTGAGTATGTCATGTCCCGGGGTTCAAGTTCTGCTATGATAGGAAGCTTCTCACTTGGACTAGGCAGGACTGATCAAAGGCTAAGAGTTTTGCTTGGTGTTAGCAGATGAAAAAGGAGAAAAGGCATGTTCTTGATCACAGGACAATGTTCTCCAAGACCCTACAACAGGAACATCCTAGTCTGTGCCCACCTTGCCTGTTCAAGCAACTGTGCCATCTCAAAGAAGTGTGATTTCCCAATGTGCTTTGCCGTGGCTGTATCAAGATTCTCCGCCCTTGTAGGATGTCACAGTCAGGTAGGGTTGATGACTGACTTCTTTTAACAACCTCCATAACTGTGACCTGCCACTTTCTTCATATAAAATACATTTGTCCCTTTATTACATTAATCTTCTCACATTCCATTTTGTCCTCTTTCCAACATCTGATTCTCAGCTTTCTCTTAAATTAATAATGGGAGATAATTCAATCATGAGAGCTTGATTCTATTAGACACCCTAAAATTTAAGAATTGTATCTCTTCTTCAAATACTCTGATGATGTTGAAGAAATCATTACTCAAGAAGCATAAATAATGTTACAACCTTCAAACATAATTCAGTCCATTAATTTAGTGTTATGGAAAAATGTCCACTAAATATTTGTGAATTTTATGCCATGCTGGAAAAATGTGAAAAGAGAGACAATACTAAAAATTTAATTCATAAATTATTTAATAGCGTTATTGTTTTGTCTAATAAAATATTCCAAGTCTTGCTGCTTAAGAATAGCAAATGCTGCAGCTTACAAGTCTGTCATTATTTTTAAAAGTCTTGAAAAAATAGTTTGATCCCCCAAATAAATACCCCTATTTCATGAGGTTATGACTTACACAGACTGCTACTATGTAAAACCTAGACAATAGACATCTATTACTAAGGCATGCATTTAAACTAGGTGTTTTAATAGGGCTCAGTAAAAAGGGCTGCAGCAAAGATGACAGGATATATGTGACAAGTGTCCTTCTGAGTTTTAAACATGGTTATGATCTCCTTTCTACTTAATGGATTCCAGCACGGAATAAATAATACAGGATTAATGCGGCACAGGTAAGACAAATTAAAGGCAATGCATTTGAGACCTCAGCGATGAATTGACACTGGGCCTGATTACCTCCTGCAGTTCATAAAGATAAAGTATAACCAAGGGGTTTGGCTGGGAATCTGGAAATCAGCTACCCAAGTGGGCCAAGTAGAGATTAAAACTATGCAGAGTTCTACAGGGCATGCACTGTCCCTCTAGGCAGGCTGACTCCTAGCAGGCCTCAGCCATTAGTACTCACCATTCTTGCAAAGCAGCACAGCTAGGAAGTCCTGAGAAGAAGAATTGATGAAGAGCAAAAGGCTGGGTGTCTGAGCTGTCACAAAGCTGAGTGCTATGTTCTCCTTGGAGGGCACCACATCTGTGTAAATAGCTGAAGAGGAGAGGCTCGTATTCTTGGTCACTGGGTATGGCTCTTGAAACACGTAAGTAACCGACGTGCCAGGTTCAAACACAGCAGAAACCTCTGCAGTAGAGAAGGGAGAGGACACATCAATGTGGTAATTCAATTATTCCAGGTAACCACGACTTTTATATATTGTTTCCTACACACCAAGCCCTATGCAAGGGATTGGACCTGATCCATATAATACATCCACAGTAATAATTTTGAAGAGGTACCACCATTATTCTTGTTGACAAGTGAAAAACTTTAGGCTCCCAAACTTTGAACAAAGTTGCACAGTGAGAAGAAATAGCTCAGGTTTGCCCTCTGAAGTTTATACCTAGTTCCAAACACAGTTGCAGAATGACTACTATTTTTAGAAGCTAAATAAACATCCCTGCTTCCAGCAACATGCATAGAAACAGTTTGCTAGGACCATCTTACTGTCAAAACAAGTAACCAAACACTTCTGGTCAGTATGCATGTAGTGTTTCAGGATGTGAGTGGTTGCTGAATCGCTTTGAATAGGATGTGGAGAGGGGGCACAGATCTTCTCTGCAATACTGGGCAAAATGTGAGGACCAGCGGAAGCAGTGCAGAACTGTGCAGAACTGTTTTAGTGATACTGTTTTAGTGTAGAACTGTTAATAAAAACAGTAAAGAGCACACAGGTATCCAACCCAGGATTCAGTTTTCAGATGTGCAGGCATTTCTACCCAGTTCCAGCAGTCAGCAGAACTGGCAAAGAATTTCCATGGCCAGTGCATTGCATGGCGTTCTGTCAGCGCCATAGAGTTCTGTGGTATTGATGAACAGATAAAATTCAGTTAGCAGAAAACTGCAAATCACCAAATCCTCTTTGTACAATGCTCTTGCTCTTTTATCACGGTGGTCCTGTGGTTGTAGCACAGCCAGAATTAGCACTAACTCTTAAGTCTCTTGATTATTTACAGGCCATATGGACCAGGCCAAGTCATCAAGGCTATGGGGCCTATTCTCCCCTCTAGGGACTGAGATTCATAACATCTACCTCATCGTTGTCTCTAACTGGATTAATATAGTACATGTAAAGACCTAAGAGCGCTGCTTAGTGATTTGAGCTCATAGACTGACCGTGCAAGAAGAGAATTTAACTAAATGTATCCCAGCTATCTTCACACAGCATATAGGCCTGACAACCCATTCATCCTGTGCTGAAATATGTTTGCTGCTTGAATCAAAGCTACTCTTCATTTGTTCTTAGCCAAAAGGCCGAGAAGCTATCAAGGCTACTCTTGAGTTCACTTTAAATTTTATCTCTTTGCTGTAGAAGGCCATGAAAAAAGATTTCTTTGTAAAGAAACACATCTTAGATGTGACAGCAAACCTCTGCCATAAAACAGCACGGTAAACAGGATCCTATATTGACATGATGAATTTTCCTTCATGTGGAATGAAGTATGAAATGTTCTTAATTCTTCATGAAATCTCTATTAGTTTGTGGCACCTAGAACATAATCAGATTTGGCTTTGCTTCCTAATTCAATTGTAAATTTGTTGCACCTTGTGAAAATTCTGTAATGGTCTGTAATAGTGCCAAAAAATTAATGTTGCATATTTATGCATATCGCCTAGCAGATTGGGAATACTAGTGACTTTTTATTAAAGGTTCAGAGAAAATGTTTTGCATTTATTATGCAAGTTACCATATTGGTATTCCTGATTATAAAAATATGTAGCAGACATTTGTGACTGTGAAGATTTTGGTTTTTCATTAGCTTGATTCAAGTGTTTTCCTTGAATAGTTTTCTTCAGAGCCATTTAGGCTACATTTTGAACTACTATGTCCAAATTGACAAAGGTCTCTCATTTGATGTTTGTATATGTACTAGAAATAAATCTAATTCAGAGCATTCTACCATGAATAGCATATTGGATATTGGTATACCCATTATTTTTCATTTTATCTAGAACAAGTTTTTAAATAAATGCATTTATAATTACATACATCAAACCAAATTTATGTCATTTTCTTCCATTAGCCCAGTTCTCATTATTTTAAATATTTAGATGTTATTTATTTTTATATAAACCTAAGTTCAGCAATGCACCTAGACTCTGCTATTCTTTCACATTTTTATGTTTTGCAATCTGAAATTAAATTTCTCATAAAATAAGCTGAGTTTTCTGAATGTCCAGAACTTTAGGCCTTTTTCCTATAAATTTGTCTTCCCTGTTTCCCTCCTTCTTCAGCCTGGGGCGGCTTTTCCTGTGTCATATCACTTCTCTGAAATTAATTGCTCTTTGTTGAAATACTATTTATGGTGTAATTCTAAGTCACTGCTTTGAACAACTTTCCTCCTGAGCAGTGCACAGTAATAAACCTGCTCATTTTTTCTCTTGTTAATCTGTCATTACAAGCATTTTGTTCCAACTATGTATTTGTGAGGGTTGGGGATACCTAGAAATTACACAAGCTGAAATTAATTTATATAAACTTGACCAACCAAAAATAAAACAATTGGGCATGTGAGCAATGAGTGTATGCTGTACAATATTAAAAATTTTTACTATATTTTCCTTATTGATCATGTTCCTATACATATGTGCTTTTTATGAGTCCTTTCTACCAATACAGAGCGTATTGTTTATCCATGATATGATAATATACTCAGGGTCTGCATCAACTTATAAGAGAAGAGAGTAAGAGTTGAATATCTCGATGGAATAAAAATAATCATGAGTTTGTAGTTGTTAAAGCTAGATAATGGTTATCTGTAGAGCTTCTGCTTTTTATTGTTTTATTTTTTATTTTTTGTCTTTTTTTGAGACAGAGTATGACTATGTAATTCGGGCTGGCCTTGAACTCACTATGTAGCCCAGGCTAGCCTTGAACCGACAGTGATCCTGCTGCCTCAGCCTCCAGAATACTGGGATTACAGGCATAAGCCACCACGCCAGGCTCCATGGAGCTTCTGAAACTCTTCTCACTATTGCATCATGTCTTCCTTTTCCACAGTAAAAGATGAATAAAAAAAGTATAAGTTAGCAGGAATGTAAATATTAAGGATTTTAAATAGATATGTTTACCATTATTTGTAAACGAAACCTGGGAGGAGCTGGGCTTCCTAGACAGTAGAAAGAAGCAAGGTTCAGTGAGCCTTATACATCAGCAGTTAGCACCAGGGCTTTGTGCAGGGCTCGCTGAATCTGAAGCAAAGCCTCCTGAGAAAGAGCCCTGTGCATCTCACCTTCTAGAGATGAGAAAATCAAGGGGCCTTGAGGCTGAACGACATGACAGGAGACATGCAGGGCGGGTTGTAGATGAGCCAGCATCTGAGTTCAGGTCAGTCTGATGGCAAATCCTCACCATGACTCCGGGAGCCCCGGTGCCCAGTGACAGAAAGGGGAAAGCGGGTGGAGGTGACCACACTAGATGGAACTTATTATAAAGGGAAGCTGCTGGCAAATATTTATGATTCATACAAGAATGCTATGAAATGAGATAAAGAAAATTCATGACATAAAATGTAACCTCCAGCATTATTTCTGTTATACTAATTACAAAGATAAGAGGTAAGAGAAAGTAATTTTTAATGATTGTGAGTAACTAAAGTGGGTTTAAACATTTCTAGATTTCAAATAAATTTTAAAATGTATGATCTAACATTTTTAATTAAATGTTTAAATGACAGGTGCACCTAGACTATTCAATTAATGGTGATGGAGGTGCTAAAGACCACTCCACACCAATGAATGGGGCTGGGCAAGCAGATTTCCATGTGCAAAAGAATTGAGTTGTACCCCTACTTGCCTCACAAAGAAAACAAAACAACAAAATGCTTAAAATGGACAGAAGCACTACATGTAAGAGCTAACAGTTCAAAGCTCTTAGAAAAAATCACAGATATAAATCTTCATATCCGTGGATTAAGCAATGAATTTTTTTAGCTAAGACACTAAAAAACAAAGAAAAAATATGGAAAAAGTGGACTTTTTCAGAATTGAAAACAATTGTACACATGTAGGACAAACAAAGTACATAAAATAAAGAAAATACTTGCAAAATACATATGTAATAAGGGATTTATATTTAGAAACTACAAAAACATCTTACAACTGAACAGTAAAAGGATAAAAAGTCTGGAAAAGATTTAAATAAATATTTCTCCAATGAAGTTACACCAGCGCACAACAAAGATGTGTAAAGGTATTTCGTTTAATTGGTATTAGGTAAGCGCAAGTTAAGACCACAATGTGATACCACTTTCTGTCCAGGGAAACGAATATTCACAAAAACTCAGGCAAAAATACTTGTAGGCAAGGAAGTGCAAAATTGGAATTCTCATAAACTTCTGGTGAGAATGTAAAAACTACCACCCTCTTTGCAAATAAATTTGAAAGTTCATCAAAAAGTAAGCTATATGGTTTTACTTCTGGGTTGTCTTACTTCTAGGTATATACTCAAAAGAATAGAGGACATATGTCCACACAAAAGTGTATATGTGAATATTAATAGCAGCACTATTCATAGTAGCCAAAGAAATGTAATTATTTCAGTGTCCACCAAGTGAGAAGTGGATAGGCAAAAGATGGTACATCCACACTATGAAATATTTCTTGGCAGTAAAATACCTAAAAGTTCCACAGCATAGATAATCCTTGACAACATTTTGCTAAGTAGAAGAAAGTAGACAAAACGAGGCCACAATTGTATGGTTTCATTTATATGAAAGATCCTCAATAGGAAAATCAATAGAAACAGAAATTACATTAGTGGTTTCCAAGATCTCACAGGAGAAGCAAATGGAAGGTGACTGCCAATGGGCCTAGAGTTTTTTTAGGGGGGCATGATGAAATTATTCTGATCTTACATGCTAGTGATGATAAGCAAGTTTGAGAAAATACTATAAAGTCACTGGATCGTACACCTTAAACGCGTGAGCTTTATAATAACTAACCACAAAAAGAGAAACAAAAAGCTATGAATCTAAAAAACATGCAATACTTTTACCATTCTTCTGAAAAGACTGAAGCTGGAGTAATAAATGAGAAAAGGAAACCAAAGAGAAATTGTATAGTCCTCCAAATCTGACACATTTTAGCAAGTAACTAACCCTTTACAAAGCCTTCTTATGTTAAATATCAATATTAACACCTGCCCTATTAGCTTAGGGATAAGAAATGTATACTGTAGTTAATAACTAATTTGCATTTACTTTTTGTACCATTATAAGAAATAAAACAAGGTCCAATGGTAGTTCTCATCCCAGCACTGATGATGGACACACATCTCTCATTTCATCCAAGACATCTCCAGTATTACCCACCATTTCCCTGAACAGCTGTACACCATAGCCAGCAGCACAGAAGCGTGGAACAGCATCCCAGTGGAGAGCAGGTTTTATCCAAACTATCTTGTAGCTGCTGGGTCCCCATTTCAGTTCCACACCATGTCTTTCAGAGGCAACTGATGAGGCCAAAAGATTTGGTTGAGAAACCTATCTTACTTACATTGCAAGTTCTGAATACAGGGAATCTTTGCTTTCAAAAATTGAACAGGGGGAAAGTTTGGAAATACTGAAACATGAAAATTACAGAAAAGCTAAGCATAGATATGCATATTTAACTTACAGATGAAAATGAAACTATGGGAGAGAATAGAGAGAATGTTCCAATGTGCACAAGCAACAGACTCAGCTGCATGGCTGGAAGAGAATCAATAGGAACTGTCTGGGAGAAAGGAGCTTACAAAAAATGGGTGCATTTAGAGCAATATGATCCATGTGATGCTGCAGTAATGTCCCTGAAGAAATGCAGAAAGGTCTACCAATCTCATTTCCCCCAAAAGAAAGAAGACTTGGAGACAGATGAAGTAATAGTGTTTATGTACTTTAGTTAGGTTAGATCACCCTGTGTTTACTATGTATTTGCTTTTTACAGAGTTTGGGACAGTTTAAGAATGGTGCTGAAACTTCGTAGTGGAAGCTACTTAGAGACCCAGCAATCTCTTGACTTAGCTCACATGAAAGAACTACTGGGATGGAACCTGTTATATTTCAGGGTCCCCTGCATGTTTCAACACAGTGTTGATTCTAAAATTTGTAACATTAATGTTTTTTTTTTTTTTTCCAAGAGCATAAAACAGTGCCTAACACTAATGAACAATAACTGGATGGAAGGCCAAAAGGAACGAGTAAAGACCTTAAATTACAGGGACTTTCAAGAAAAACACATAAATGCTTTTTAAAAAATTCCTATTGTTTTTGGAGTTCTAAAGTGGGTTGGACAAAATAAAGCACTGTTAGGTAGAGTTGCTTGGAAAATATATCTTCAAGATTGACAAGAGTTATTTAAAATGGGTACCAGTGTATCTAAGTGGTGTCTTAGAGTGACAAGAATATGTTACTTTTAATAGCTTAAAGGCAGTTCTTGAAATACTGTTTATTTTGCTCAACAAACTATTTTTCCATCAATAAAATAAACTTCAAAGTACTACACAGGTTAATAGTAGACTGAATATTTTGTTTTTATGCTTGAAAAATACTGAATGTCATTCTGAATAATGAGTGTCTCTAGTTTTAAGGGCTATCTAGTATTTTTAGAGAGCAGTCAAGACGTGAGCCTCCCTCCTGCACCACCCGCCATGGTTGCCTTTGCCACAGTGACAAATTCTTGAGATTGGGAAGGTTGCCGAAGGCCTCCAAGGAAGGAACTTTGACTGTGCATTTCATATAATACATCCCTCATTTCATCCAAGGCATGCCATCCAATTCCAGAAAAGCACAACATGAGTTTCCAAGGAGTGCATTTAAAGCCTAAGATGTTTGCTCAAAATACATAAGGAAAAGATTTCACTGGATACATGATATTGTTTTCACTAATTGACCTATACTCTCCTTGTTGTAAAAATGATTTAGAGACTTAAGTGTGTCTCAGGTTCCTTCAGGGCTGGAGTGTATGATTCTATGATTACATTTGGAGACAGAGGAATCATAACTGGGGAAACATTACCATCACTAACAATCTGGCTAACACAAGAGAAATGAGAGGCCACCTCCACTCAGGCTCACGTGGCTCCTTAGCCTCAGACAGTGTGTCATTCGATAACTATGCATCCATTTCAGCCACACTGCTAGGAGACACGCACCTGCACAACAAGAACTGTGTGTGTAATTGTGTTGAACGGTTGTGCAGTTGCCAGACAGAGGAAAACTAAGTAAGAGCACATGATGAGGCCTAAGAGCGTGGGAGGCATGAGCACAGCCCACAGGTTTCACAGCACTGCACCTGGGAGTGTGGAGGACCACTTAGAGGACTCTTCTTGAAAGAAAAGCAGTTATCTCCATTCTGGTTGAACCTGGCTCTTTTTCCCTGTATTGATAAGTACAGAGCTGGCTGGAACTGTTCCTTATTCCTTCCACTGGCTTTAAGTAATACAAATCAGCCCAGCCAAGGTACCGATGTGTAGCCTTTGAAGCAAAAATACAGGGCAGTGTTTCCCATACCCATAGCTCCCAAATAAACATGTGTGAGCCTGGGTGGGATGAAGAGAAGGACTCTACACTATAGGATGGAATACAGCCTAGAGACAGAGTCTGTGACTTCCCACGGCATAAAAGATTAGACATCAGAGCTAAAGCACTGGGCCCAAAACATTATGTACTACCTCAGTTGTGTCATGCAGATTACTCTTTCTGCATAGCCTCTCTGAACATTGCAGAGGTGATTTCAGGCCTCCTAACTAGCCCAACTCCCAGCACTCATGTACTTCCGGCTATTCTCACAGTCACTTATCCTCAAGCCACTCCCTTCTTCACAAGTAACTAAAACCCAGTTTAGCCCGGGGTAGAGGCCTTTGTTCCAGTTAACCATTATCCTACCTAGGCTTAGGACCCCTTGGCTCCCCACAGCTACAAACATGCCTTAATGTCTTTCTTCTTGCCATGGGTTGCACTGGAAGTGGTAGACTGGAATTAACTTGCTAGAATTCCAATAACTTTTCCATGGGATTACAAATACAGTGTAAACTTCTCAGATCACAAAGAGGACCATGAAGGGCTCTCTATATGGGAGCTGTACATGCTTAGCTACCTTTTTGGCAAAAGGGCCCTTCATATGGAGAATGTGTGCAGTCACACAAGTAGCCACTGTGCTTCTCCACACACTTGCCCCCGTTGTGGCAGTTGCTGCCGTAGCTGCTGCAGTGACCCGGGCAGCCCGGCCTGACTCCAGACGTGACTTTCGCCCGCTCCTCCAGGTCCAGCTTTTGTCCATTCAAGAGTAGGGAGCGGATACATCCAAGGAAGCCTTTTTGTCTTGATGATGTTCCCCCTAAAAGTGAAACATAAAAGGAATAAATGTAAAGTAATGTGAGACTTCATACTTTTAGGTTTAGTGCCTTTATGGTTAACAGTTAACTATTAGTATGTGGCCATGTTGTGTTAAATTTTTCTTTAAAGGTTCCAGGAAGAATTAAGAATTGAAAGAGTTGAGAAAATAATGTCTTTCCTTCTAAGCTAAGGAATCAATGCCTCACAGGAGCAAGAGCGAGAAAAATGGACAGACAGACAGACAGACTGAGACAGAGAGAAAGTAAATAGTTCTTCAGGAATTCTCTACAGGATTATCAGTAAGACTTCAGATGAAATAAAATGGACTTTTGCATAGTCCACAGCAGACTTTAATCCAAAACAGAAGATACAGAGTGGGATTTCCCCTTCTGAAAAATTTAATAGTAAGCTGTCCTGTCAGCAAGTATGAAAACTACAACACACCTCCTAATGCTTATGTAACTTATACACCTGGAGACAGGGTGGAATTCAGGGCTTCCCAGACACAGAGTCACACCCCTTGTCATGCAGTGATTAGCTATATTAACCACAGAAGCACCTAACCCTCAGCTACTTGATCTGTAAATTAAGAATGTCAATGGGGCTGGGGATTTAGCTCAGTGGCAAAGCGCTTGCCTGGCAAGTGCAAGGTCGTGAGTTTGGTTCCTGGTACCGGAGAAAAACCAAAAAAAAAAAAAAAAAAAAGAATGTCAATTATCTGTGTTTATAGGAGGGCTTAATTAAGATCATGGAATTATTTGTGCTCAATTATTGCTGTTTCCTTTATCCCACCTCTTCAGTCATCAAAAATGGCAAGAAACAGTATGCCCTTAAAATAGGTAAATAAATAGATAAATAGATAGATAGATAGATAGATAGATAATAGATACATAGATAGGTAGATGATATAGATAGACAGATAATAGATAGATAGATAGATAGATAGATAGATGATAGGGACATAGATAAGTCCTCAACCTTACCAAATTCAAACTGTTTGCAAGGCATGGGTTTTCCACCTAGAACATGGACCAGGACTGTAACTTAACTTTTCGCTGAGAGTTCACCATGAAGGTTTCAAGGAGATTTGATAGGTTACTTAGAAATTTCCAAAGAGTAGCACTGATTCAAAGTTTATAAGTGTTTTGCTCCCACTGAAAATCTAGGATTCTGCCCTGTGACCTCTCTGATAATAAGAAAGTATGTATACAAAGGAACAGCAAGCCAGGGGTTAAGGTTAAATAAATCAGTATTTGTTTGGTGCTAGAAATTCTTAGAGGAAGCAGAGGTCCAGCATGCCTTTAAATAACAGGCAATTCATTTCAAATCCTTGACTTCAGGGACACACTTGCATATACTAAGCAGGTAACATATGCAAGTCTTTGAGTTCTACCACACGTACTTGAAGAAAAGACAGTGAATGGGAAAACACAGAGGCCAGGGCCTATTTGTCATTTTTTTTTTTGTCTGTACCTTAGGCTTTCCTGTGTGAGACTCATTCATTTCTAGCCCCTTATGTTACAAATGTATCACATCACCATCTAGCAAATAATGAGATCAGAATATGTTCCTATCAAGGTAGATCAGATAAGGATTACAAATGTGTTATCTCAGAGAAGGAATACAGATGTTGAAAAAAATAAAGTGATAAGTTAAAAAATGAATAAATAATACAGTAGATGGGAAGCTAGGAAATAACTAGGCATGCAGTGGGCTGGAAATATGCCATGAGGGGCAGGCATCTGCCTTCTGTAAATCACGCCAGCATATTATACCAGTAAATACACATATGAAATTCACTATGTGCATCCAAGCACTGAGACAATACGTTCCTAAGGAATAAATCAAGTTTCCTATTCTTCTATGATGAAACTCTACTGTCTTTTCAATTCTGATAAGTGATACCCAAGTAGACCGAGGGGCTAAACCTAAATTTCATTCTTCTGTCTGTCTCAATTTTGGTGACTAAATCTCCTTTTAACCACAAGCTAAATCAATTACATGCACAGCAGATCTTCAAAGAAGGTTCATTATTTCTCTCCAAATATTGTGTAGACTAAAGAGGGGAGGATTTATGCAGTAAAATGTTTTCTTCCCTTATTTTGTAGTCACTCCCCATTGTGCATCAGAATAATTCCTCATATATCTTGTTAGTGTCATTTTTCTTTAGCTGAGGTGGAGAATGTAAGATCTATTGCATGTTCCCTTGCATGTGACTTACTTAACAAATTTATAAACAGAGAAGGTGACTGGGGTCGTTTCTCTGACAGAATTGTATTTCTGGAGGTGGGAGACATGCAGGGCCTGATAAGAATTCCCCTCAACAAGGGATCATGTCACTTCCAGTTGCTGAAAAAGCACAGTGATTCTGTGAGACCTTGCACAACTAAATTGCACAATGCACTAAATCTCAATCTTCTCCTGGCTGTGTTCTATTCTTTACACAGTAGAAAATCTTAGATTCCTTTTTCTTCATTGAGAAGAATATGTAGACTAAAGAAAAGGCTAAGATTTCCACCATCTTGCACACACACGCACACACACACACAGAACCAGAATAACTGCTTGTTCTCTACATTCTCTGATGACGTTAACTACTACCTGTAGAGTGTAATATGAGGCTGGCATCTTTTGTAGAACTTTAATTCTGCACAGAAACACAACTGCAATCTTTCCTCTTTCTCCCAGCATACAGCTCTGCTTCCCCAGTGCAGCCTTGGGGATTTGCGCCTCCTAGAGCCACGTGCCACTTTCTACACTTAGAGCCATGCCCTTGATAGAGCATCCTCACCCCTGCCTGAATCCTGGCACTGACATGTTTTCTTTAGACCAACTCTTCCCACCCACTCACCACTTCATAACGAGGATGGGAGGAATTGGAGATTGATTCTCCCATTCTTGTTAGATGTAAAATATCCCCCCAGATGTCCCACGTTCTTGGAAGGCAACTAGAACTTGGGGGCCCGTAACTGACTTCCTTTGAGGGCCTCATTGGAATTGGGTCACTGGAGATGTGTGCAACCTGGAGGAACATGTTCTTATTCTTTTTTTTTTTTTTTTTTTTTT